GGAGGCTTGCGTGGAGCTTTGCGTCTTGATATGTGTTTTGTCTTAGCTCAACGAATATCGACAGACGAGTTTGCGGCAATGCCGACTGTGCCCATTGCGGAGAAGTGTGCGTCTTGGACAAGCTGAACAACTCATGCGAATGGACGCGGTTCCTGACAAGGTCGGGGTTCCTGTTTCAGAAGTTGGAACAGCGGACAAAACAGCTCAGTGTGCCACACTGGCGAAAGCAGGGCCTGACAATCCTGATGAAGTACTTGCCTCATGGCGAGTGCAAAGCGTAAGCAACAATTCATCACCGTCACTGCACTTGCAAGACCAGCGATGTTACCTCGAACTATTCTTTAGGTTCGGCGACAAGTGCAAGTGCTGCTGTCATCCGTACGAGGTGAACGAAGATGGAACGGCCTGTCGGTTGAAGAAGTATTGCCAAGCTCTGACTTTACCAGCTGACTAGAGCGTGTTAAATCAAATGCTTCGTCATGTTTATTGAATACATAGTAATTTCATGTATGTTGATCGTGCCATATATTAAAAACCAAAACCAAGGACTTTGACAGGTTGACACCGTACCATGCAAAAGCATTGTAAAGACACATTCATTTTAAAGGAGAATTAAAGTTAAAAAATAAATTTATTAAAAGCAGTAACGAACCTTCTTCTCTTTGATCTATGGTATTAGCAAAAAATTGCAGGTTAAATTTTTAACGCAGGGCGTTCTGATTCGTGTCAGTAGCAAGTAGGCAATAATAAAAATAAATTGAATCAATTAGCAGTCACAAGACAGATGAGTTTTATGAACGATATAAAAACGAAACTGCTAACTTACTCTTCCTCATAACCGTTAGCCATCGCTAAGATTGACACAACACAGTGGTTGATCATGTTTTCACTGCTGCGGTCATAAGCGGTAACATTCATGGGAGAGAAATTTTAGAATAGACAGCATTTCTGTGGAAAGAGCATAGGTCAGAGCTAGTTCCCCGAAAATAAACTACATTTACACAAGTACCCTATTCATTGCAGTACGTAAAATAGAACCGATTTTCCGTCCGCATTATGAGATTATGCCATATTAATATGATACTGGAACAATTACCCAAACCGGATCAAAGCTTAGACAATCCGTTGCTGGTTGAGATAGTGAATGAGAGTTTTTAGACTCCAGCTGCGCTGCTAAAATAAGTATTTTTCCTCG